ATTATCTTGTAGGCATTCCCAATGCAGTCCAACATATGTTAACCAGCACCCCAATTAACATGAAAGTTGGGGGTGTGTGGCTGGGAGATGAGTCACTGTATTTTTGCAAATTCATATGAAACACAAAACAGACAAACACTCTGCTCAGTTTTTGTTCTGAGTGACTTGGGGGTGGGGATGTTAATTGTTAGAATTTGGAACACATTTCCCCCCCCTCCATAAACTGATGTCCCGAAGCAAATTGATATTTGGTTTCCCAAAGTGGGCCACCAAAAGTTTTTATACCAGTACAATTTTTCCCTCTGCCCTATTGTTTTCCTGAATAATGAATTACAAAATCTCACATGGAAAACCAGAAATATATTAGCATAGCGTGTACCATCTGGGGCTCTCGCTACTCCTTCTCTCCTTCTCTGGCCCATGGAACAACTCTTCCAGGAACAACAGAATTGGGATTTTGGAAGAGAAGTCTTGGATAGATTCTCCAAGAGAGCAGTTACTTGCTAATTTTTCCATTTCTGTATCTGCATCTAAATAAGATGTAAGTTCTTCTCAACAGCTATATAAAAAAAACCCTCAAGTTCCTTAAATGACTGAAATTGAGATGATAAAGGATTTTCTCATTCAGTTACTCATTTCTATATTAAAAATTTAGAGCCTGTTATATACCAGGTTCTGGACAGACAACTGTGAACCAAACAGACCCTTTTCCTTCCTTCATGGAAGAAAACCTAATTGTAGGTACAGGGGTAGGTGTGGGTTGGTTAACTGTAAGTTCAATATTAAGCAAATAGACCAATAAATCATACAAGCCACATTAAGTGGTACAAAGGAATTGAGGGCAGGGAGGGAGTATCTCTAGGAAATGAAATTGGTGCTGAGGATTGAAAGATGAGAATTAGACAGGAAGAGAGTTTGTGTGTGGGTGGGATGGAGGTCAGAATAGACCAGCCCAGGAACAGCCAAGGCTGGGAGATGAGGAAAGCTGGGGGTGTGTAAGAGGCCACCAGCAGGTAGCCCAGAGCCCCCGACTGCACTGAGCAGAGAGGGAGCTGAGGTGGTGTTGGAGAAGCCAGTGGAGGCTCCTCATGCCAAACCTTGTGGGCCAATTAAGGGATCTGGTGACATATCCTGAGTCTGGAGAGGCTTGATGCCTTCAGATAGGCTCACGGCAGAATCAGAATTACTTTTTAAAAGTCTAGTCCAGTTGGGGATGTGGTGTGTGGATCTGGCAGAGGGACTAGGGGTGGGAAGGGGAGCAGGGACACCCATTGGGAGATGACCACAGGAAGTCAGGTAAAAGAGAATGGAGGCTGGACCACCGTGGCTGTGGGGTTAGGGCAGTGGTTAAAGTTGCTCTAGAGTTTGAAGGAGGCATCAGGATATCTGTAGGATGAGTTGGAGTGTTTCAGTCAGATTTTTCGCTGCTGTGACTCAATTTTTTTTTTGAGCAGAACAACTGTAGAGGAGAACAGATTTATTTGAGGGCTCACGGTTTCAGAGGTCTCAGTCCATAGAAGGCTGGCTCCATTCCTTAGGGCTCAAGGTGAGGCTGAACATCATGGCGGAAGAGGGTGGCAGAGGGAAGCAGCTCACATCAAGGTGATCGGGAAGCAGAGGGAAAAATTCCAGTCTCCAAATACAAATATATACCCAGAGCCATGCTCCAATTCGTACCTCCTCCAGCCACACCCTACCCCTTTAGTTAATCCCATCAGGGATTAACTCGCAGATTGGGCTTAGACTCTAACTCAATCATTTCTCCACCAAACCTTCTTGCATTGTCTCATGTGAGCTTTCCGGACACCTCACACCAAAACATACCAGGCTGGAGCACTTGGGTGGATGAGAGGGGCCTGGCACCATGATGGGAACACAGGAGGAAGGGCAAGAAGAGAAAACGGAGAATTGGCTTGGGGGTGGGTGTGCAGTTGGAGATCACTGTGAGGTCTGGCGAGGCACTTGAAACTCAGAAGGAGCTCTGAACTCTGAACCAGAGAAACCAATATGGGAGCTATTGGGACAGAGATGGTGTCTGGAGCCACCATGGGGCCCTGCACACCTCACAGCCAATCACATCTGTAGTATAGGAGGGTAAACCAAGCCATAGGCTTAAAGTGGAGAAGGAAATCGATTCGTCCATAATGGTTCAAATAAACCACCTTCTACCTGCTATTATAATAAACCCACTTTTATCCCACACTTCACATAAGAGTGACAATGGGCCTGAGAGAAAGGTAGCTTGGGTTCCTTTGTTGTAATGGTGGTATTTGGGGTGTGGGGTGCTGGGGATTGAACCTATGGCCTTATGCATGCTAGGCAACCACTCTAACTCTAAGCCCCATCCCCAGTCCATCGGGTTCTGATTTCTTTCTTGTGATTGAAACACTGAAGTGCTTCCTCTGTGATTTTGCATTTCACAGATTTAATATCCCTCCCTCAAAATACACCAAAAGTAAGGGAATTTTCTGTGCAGTGAGCTGGGCATGTCACTTTTCTGAGACCCTCTAAGAAGGGGCCATTTTGCCTTCTGGGCTAAAACCATTTGCTTTCCCTTCATAATTAGGATTTTAGTTGCATCTGGACATTGCTGAGTTGGAGCTTTACCACTCGCTGGAAAGTCCCACTCCAAGTGGAAGTGACACTCTAAAGCCATGGAGTTTGACCAGACTCTGGCCTCCATGCAGTGGACTGCCAGCAGTGAGTAATTCTGGCTTTGGAAAGGGCACATTTGTAAGGCTAAATTAATACGTCCTGTTTCTCATCCGTGACTTCTCTCTGTTTCCAGTTTTAAACAGTCAGCTGCCTTGGTTACATGATCATGCAAAAAACATTTTTTTGGAGGTGTTCGTGTTTCTTGTCTTTCCCAGAATGGACTCGAGTCTTGGAACCAAATCAATCAGTACCTATCCAGATGCTCACAGGAGAGGAAGGAGAAATCAAATCCATGTCCCTTACCTTTCTGAATGGAAAACCCCAAACATCCAGCATCCTCAAATCTCCTGTCATTGTTCTCCAGTGATGAGAAGCTGTGAAGCAGATGAGGAACTTGATAGTTTCCATTACGTGGACAGTTTCCATTCCTTTCCCACATTTTATTCTTTCATTTCATCTGATAAGGTTGAAGAGGTGCGTGTGACTGATGTAAATTGCTTTTCCTCATCAAAAAACTATGCCGGGCACTGTGGCGCACGCGTGTAATCCCAGTAGCTCAGGAGGCTGAGGCAGGAGGATAGTAAGGTAAAAGCCAGCCTCAACAATTTAGCAAGGCCCTAAGCAACTTAGCAAGACCCTGATCCTGTGTCTAAATCAAATGTTTTTTAAAAGGACCAAGGATGTGGCTTAGTAATTAAGTGCCCCTGGGTTTAAACCCTGGTACAAAAAAAAAAATCTCCAGAATCAGAGTCCATAAACATTCCTAGAGAGGGCACTTAGCGGTAAAACACTGGAAAGAAAAGTGAAATAGCATCTAAACTAAAGGCCCAACCTCCCTCTGATCTTCCTTTTTGTGAGCCTAAATTCAGTACACAAGACTTAAGTCTCTGATGAGAAAAAATATCTCACCAACCTCAAGTTAAAAGACGTATGTGGCCTTAAGGCAAAATATCCCAAAGCTCCACCAGACCAAATCCAAGGTGACCAGGGGGACAACTGCTCTAATGTCGTAACTCGCATATTTATGCAAATGGTAACTTGGGTCTCACTGAAGGGCATGGCTTTGCCTCCTAAAGGACTGTTTTACTTGTCTTTGACCAGCAGCCAGCTGCCCTGGGTAACGGCCACAGCACAGGAGAGCTAATTGCTCACAATTGGAAGTACAGACGAGGACAATAAAGAGAAACAAGTCAAAGTTGGCCCTTAGGACTGAGAACACATGTGCGGCTTCTCCTTGGCAAGCTGAAGTTTCCAGGTGGGACTTACTTCAATCCATTCTGTGGATTATTGATTAAAAGAATCTTGTCACAAATTAGGTTCCTAAAGTCAAAAGGACAAACCAGCCATCAGGCCATGGCAGAAACACACACAGAGGCCAAGGGATCTGCAGAGTCCACGTGTGGAATTGAGAATTGTGGTGGAGACCCAGCAGTCACCAGCAGCAGCTGTGATTAGAGAGGCCAGTGGGTACCTGGGTGACACGGGTCCTACTTCCATGACGGAAAAGAATTCCTTTTCCAGGGCTAACAGTTTTTCAAGCACAATTGTTGGCGAATCACTGGAACTGTCAGCCACCAGAAGTGCTTAAGCCAACCACTAGGAAAAGCAAGATTTGGAAAAGCACAAAACTTCCAGAATGTTCAACTAGCTGGGTCACTTTGCAAGTGACTTCACCCCTCCCACCCTCGGTTTCTTCATCTATATGATGGGGGTGATCATTTTAAGATGGCACTGGGAAGTAAATGAAATAATATAGATAATTAGCACAGGACCTGGAAAACAGTAAAATGTCTAATAACTGTTAGCCAAGATGTTACTGCTGCTGATTGTGATGTTGTCAAAGAGGGAGCAGAAGAAACCCTTATCTAAACAATAATTCTATATCTTAGACAAAGCCTTAGCCATAAACATGTTAATTTTTTTCTTTCTTTTTGTTTACAAACATTGGCCAATGTTCAGTTATGACAACACTGCTTATGGAAAAAAATACCGTTGAAAGTTTTGGCAAAGTGTGAGGAAAAAGTCAGAATCGCTTGATTTGTCTGATACAGTTTTCAGTGCACACTTCTTTGCATATTCAAAAATATAAGAATGCCCAGGATTCTGGGGCCTGTGGGTCAGCAGCTCCTGCTTATTTAGAAACTGGTCCCGGTACAAACATGTCCCGGGCCTAATGATAGCCCGAAGGTACAGTGACCCTGTGTTTATTTCCTTGTTGATTTCCCTTCCCTGGCTGCAAACTCATTTTCCCATTGCTTGCAGGAAAACAACATCCAGGGGTGCGGTAAGCCTGACTTGGCAGCCCAAAGGTGAACAAACCATCCTGGCTTTTGGCGAGAGAAGGAGGAAGTTCAAGGGAGCCTCTGTCCATCCAAACCAGCACAGATTTGTCATTGATGCTAACAAGTAGCATTCTGTGGGGTGCTCTCCTTGGAGGATGCCCACAGGTTGCTCTCAGGATTGGGGATCTGTTCCCCAAGTCTTCATTAGGGCAGGGGATGTATTGAATGAACTCTGAGGAGGGGGATTTTCATGCCTATTCAGAAGGTGGGACTCAGGAGAGAGATGGAAATTTTCCTGATCTGCTGCTGAGCCAGAGAAACAGCTCCCAGGTGGATTGTCCCAGACACCTCACACCACTGGAAAACTACCCAGCAAAGGTAAGAGGGCCTGGTTCCCCCACCAGGTGGAATCTCAGGCAATTGCAGAGTTCTTTGCCCCTGCCCAGGCTCCCACCCTGGCTCTATCCGACACACATGCACACCACCCCCAAGTTGGGGAGAAACACCTAGTAGGGACCTTCCTCAAAACACTAGGAAGTCCTCCACACGATAGCGCTTTTTGGGTCGATTTTTTTTTTCCTTACTGATTTCATGGAAATCTTCTCCTTTGCTTTTTTTTTTTTTTTTTTTTTTTTTTAAGAAAACTAACTTGCAAAACAGATCAGTAAAAATGTATGCAATCCCAGTAAGGCTAATTGTATTTATATAACATTATTCTTCATTAGTTTTTAAAACACATTCACAGGCACATTTTGTTTCATTTCTGCAGGACTAGGTTTTCTTGTGGCAAGAAGAGACACTGTTCCAACACTGGGTCCTCTGTCACAGTGAAAGCTCTATGCCCAAGGAATGTCAAAGAGGTGGTGGGGGCTCTTCAAAGCTTGGGCTTAGCACAGAGGGGAGAGGAGATTGAGGGAGAGCATTTCAGATCAGCACATGTCCTCAGGGAGGAGTTTGTGGGGTGAACATTGACAGCAAGACCATGAGCATGTGTGTGGCTGCAAAGGAGAGGCTGGGAACACAGACAAGAGGAGCCCTGCCTTCTGTTTGATGAAAACAAGTGAGGTAGTTGTGCAACGAGCTGTGTGCAGCATGATATGAATGTTTGGGGATGGAGGGGGCTTGGGGGGCTCACCAAGTGTGTGAGAGCTGGGCTGGAGGCTTTGGCGACCTGTGGTGGGGAGGTGGGAAATTTCACAGCAGAGGCAGTATGTGGAGGGAGGTAGCATAAAACAGCAAGAAGAGCTACATAGATTTGATTTCAAATTCTATCTTTGTTTTCTCTTTACATATATATATTTATTTCCATAGTGATCTACAGGTATTGAAAACCATGAACGCATTCTGCGTCCTTCCAAGCCCAATACAACAGACAGAGTTCATTCTGTCTTTCTCCCTTTCCATGTTGGAACTCCCTTCTTTAACATTTATTGAAGACAGGCTACAATGATATATACTTTTTAATTTAATATACTTAATAAATTTATAATATATAGTAATACATTGTATATTATTTTATATAATTTAAGATAGATTAATATATTTAATCATTTAATTGCTTAATATTTTTGCTCATTTGTTCATGCCCTGGATCCCAAGAACCTACAGCTGGCACAAGCCCTGTCCTGGTCCCCACACAGATGCCCTCCTTCCCTGCTTAGGCTCTGACACCTGGTCTGGGCCTCTACATCCTTCCACCACTCCTGCGTGGTGCCTACCTTGCTTGGCCCCACATAATGACCTTAAGGACTGTGGTCCATCCTCTGTATTAGATGGCTCCTGATTTATGATTGTTTGACTTACAATTTTGCAACTCTAGGATGGTGTGGAAGTGATGTTTTCAGCAGAAATCGTACTTCCCAGTACTCCTACAACCATTCTGCTTCTCACTTTCAGGACCATATTCAATAGTATTTAACATGTTATTATAAAACGGGCTTTGTGAGAGACGATGTCCTGACTCGAGGCTAATGTAAGTGCTCTGTGCACATTTGAGGTGAGCTAAGCCAAGCTAGGATGTTCAGTAGGTCAGGTGTATTAGGTGCATTTTCAATTTATAATATTATCCACTTACATGGATTAGTCAGGATGGAACTCCGAGAAGGATCTGTATTATATCGTCCCTACCTTTAAGCTTTGAGGGGCACGTGTTCCTGGCCCCAGGCCTAGAGAGGTGAGACTCACACCCTTTATCCCATCCCATTCAGTACTGCTCTCATATTCAAGGACATGGGCTGCTCAGGGTCTGCTTAAGGTAGCAACAACATTTTCAGGGAACAAATTACTCTCTGCGATCACTGCTCCTATTTCTATTCTGCCAAGATCTTGCCCAGGCTCTCCCTTGCTCGACAACAGGTACTAATGAAGCAATGAAGCACTAGGTACCAGGGGTTTGTTTTTGTCTCTACATTGAGACACAGAGGTTTGTTTTTTTTTTTTTTTTTGTACCAGGGATTGAACCCAGAGGCACTTAACCACTGAGCCACATCACCAGTTCCCCCTTCTTTTTTTTTTTTTTTTTGTATTTTATTTAGATACAGGGTCTTACCGAGCTGCTTAGGCCCTTGCTAAGCTGCCGAGGCTGGCTTTGAACTTGTGATCATGCCTTAGCCTCCCAAGCCGCTGGAATTACAAGCGCATACCACTGCACCCAGCTAGACACAGAAATTTTAAACTGGGGTTTCCATTCTTAAGGGACACTCCATCTACTGGGCAGCAGATAAGCAGTCAGTGACAATTCCACATGGCCAAGGGCAATGAGAGCTGTCTTACTGAGGAAGGGCACCTAACCCAAATGCAGGGGGAGAAACGAGATGCTCAAGGGGAATCCTGGATGGGTCAGGATCAACAGGGAAGGAGGGCCAGAGGGAGGCAAAGGGAGTGGTGTGAAGGGCAAAAGGGAGAAATGGGTGGTAAATTCTAGCAGCTAACTAGGGTGGCTAGTGCCAGGGCCAGAGGCAAGGGCAGGGACTGGACAGACAAGTTGGTCCAGGTGGACCATGCATACCAGGTCAAAGGCTGCATTGTAGACTTTGAGCCAAGAGGCTCTGGAGCCGAGCTCTCTGGGTTCAATCTTGGTTCTGCAACTTATTACTAGCTTTTCGATCTTAGACAAGTTAATGTGCCTCAGTTTCTTTCACTGGAAAATTGGTGGCTATAACAGTGATGACTCATGGGACTGACCTGATTAAATAATTTCTTCTACATGGTACACACAGAAATGCACAGCATATGAAGCATATGATTAATATTAGATATTAATATGATTTTCCAACAAGTAGATCAAAATGGGTTAGGGCACTGGCAATGCAGGATCATTAAAAATAATTAAAAAAAACAAATTATTTAAAAGAAAGACATTTTTAAAAATAGATTTGAGCATTTCAAAAGAAACTGCAAAGTCATTGTCTTCTGAAAAAATCAGAAAATTTTGGACTTATTTTATGACTTCTTGTTTTTATTTGATACGTTTTGGGGAGTGGGGCATCATAACCTTTTCATTGTTTCGTCCTTGAATGGTCCTAGTGTTGCCCTGCATGCTCAGGAGACCTCTCATCTATTGGTTTCCCATTGTTAGGGGTAGCCTTTGTGTGTACTCAGTGGGTTCTGAGCCAATAGTAATGGTCATGATCTTCCTGACAACCCAGTAACAACCACCAAGGCTACCCCAAAGCTTAAAGCAGAATTATTGCTAAATCAACTCTGCATCATGAGTGTATCTGTGGGGATGGAAGGGCAAGGAACCTTGTAATTCTTGAAACTTTTCTGAAAGTCTATTTGCAGTAGGCCATGGTGGTCTTTTAGCATGGCCTTTTAGCCCTGCTATTGGAGCTGTGTGGTGGTCCTCTCTTCCCTACATCCGTATCCCTGAGAACCAGGGGAGCCAAAAGAGGAAGAGGAAAATCCCAATGATATATCAAAATTAAAAACATCTGTGCACCTAAAGACACAATCAACAGAGTGAAAAGGTGACCCAGAGTGGGAGAAAATGCTCACAAGTCATATATCTGATAAGAGGGCTGGGGATGTGGCTCAAGCGGTAGCGCGCTCGCCTGGCATGCGTGCGGCCCGGGTTCGATCCTCAGCACCACATACAAACAAAGATGTTGTATACACCAAAAACTAAAAAATAAATATTAAAAAATTCTCTCTCTCATATATCTGGTAAGAGATCAGTATCCAGAATATAAAGAAGTCCCACAATTCAACAACAAAAACAATTTAGAAATGGGCAAAAGACTTGAACAGGCATTTCTCCAAAGAAGATATACAAATGAGCAAGACTCCCATGAAAGGATGCTCAGCATCACTAATCATTATGAAAACACCAATCAAAACCACAGAAAAATGCCAACTCACACTCATTAGGATATTTTTGTTAAAAAAAAAAAAGAAAAAAACAATTGTTGTCAAGGATGTGGAGAAATTAGAACCTCTGTGCACACTTGGTGGGAATGTATATTGGTGCAGCTATTGTGGAAAATAGTAGGACAGTTCACCAAAAAACTAAAAACAGAATTGTCATATGACACAGCAATCCCACTTCTTGGTATATACCTCAAAAATTAGAAAGTGGAAACCTCAAACCAATGCTTGTATATCTATATTCATAGTAACATTATTCACAATAGCTTAAAGGTGAAAAGAAAGGTGTCAACTGACAGATGAATGGATAAACAAAATGTAATATATACATACAATTGGGTGCTATTTCACCTTAAAAGAGAAGGAATCTCTATACTGTGTGCAACTAGAGAATTGAAATGTTGTGTTCCACTTTTGTATGATAAATTGAAATGGATTCTGCTGTCATATACAACTAAGTAGAATAAATTAAAAATAAATAATTTTTTTAAAAAAAGAAGGGAAATTCTGACACTTGGCATAAGTTGGATGAAATTTGAGGACATTATGTTAAGCGAAATAAAGCCAATTACAAAAGGACAAGTGTTATATGATTCCACTTGCATGAGGCATCTAGAGTAGTCAGATTCATAGAGATAGAAAGTGGTTAAGAGCCGGGGGTTTGGGAGAATGGGGAATTATTATTTAATGGTAACAGAGTTTCTGTTTTGCAAACTGGAAAGAGTTCTGGAAACAGTGGTGATGGTTGTACAACAATGTGAATGGACTTAACTACTGACTGCACACTTATAAAAATGATTAAGATGGCAAATTTCATGTTATGTGTATTTTACCATAATTTAAAAATGGCAATGAGTTGGACTGGGGTTTTTTGGTTGTAGTTTGTTTGTTTGTTTGTTTGTTTATTAAAAAGGTGAATCAATGATTTAGGGGAAGATGATTAGGAGAACTGTAGGACGAAAAAGAGTTCCAGGATTTACAAACTTTCCACATTTCAATATTTCCTAGAAATG